CGACGATATTACAATTGAGAATTAATAGTAATATAAATATTTTTACAAAATAAAACTATATCAATTTGGTAACACAACTACATAAGAAATAGTTAGTACAATAACATATATACATATGTAAAGACATTTATCATTTAGAAATTCGGTTATACAAATAAAAATTTAACTAAACACAAACTGCGATCTACCACAACACAATAAGACAAAGGCTAATTAAAATATCGATTAAGTGTTAATATTACAATATTATACTTAACAACAACAATACATTTCAGTTGAAAAGCACACAAAAATTGCAACAGAGTGAGCGGAATTTGTTACTTTATATGTATTTAATAAACAAAAACACGTATAAAAATGGTATATGAAAAACACTCGTATATGTACATATGTATTCAATCCCACCACCACAGAACTTTAATATTGCAACTAAACAGAAACTATGCATATTGGACTTTGCAAACACTACAAGAACAACATATGTATGTATGTATGTGCGAAGAAAGAGAAAACTAAATAGTCGATTTTTGCTAAACGCAAAACCAAAAAAAAATAAAAAATAATAATGTTATAAAATGGCATTAAATATAATAGCCAAACACAACAACAAAGGGAATGACATATAAGTACATATAAAACAAAAAAACAATAGTTGAAACGACAACTGCAAAATGTACATATGTATCTACATATGTACATATATGCGAACTATTGATCGTTTGTCTAACGCAACAGTCAAAATAGTAACGAAAAACGAAGACACGCGCACACACTAAAGATAAAGCTGAAAAAGTATATATGTAAATTGACTTAGAACATTGTGCAGTTGGCGATAAATGGTTTTAGTAATAGTACTGTAAATAATTCGAAGCAAACAAGCGTAAACTTCAAGATCTAAATGTTCAAATAAAAGTTCAAAAATGGAAAATACATAAAAAAAAACAGTTGTGGTTAAAGTTCTATACTCAGTTTTTGGCTTTGTTTTTTTTTGTTTTTTTTTGCGATTATCGAAACTGTTTTTGCTTGATACTTTGTACAGGGTCAGAAGCTAATGTAATTTGGAACGAAGCTCTATTATCCGTTGTAGAGTATCAAAAATATGTCGTTTCATTTTAGATCAATTTATTTTTAATTTTAGTGTGCTGGGAACTCAAACTGTTTAAATATCTCTAATGCAATGTCAAATGAAAAAACTTTTTCTTATATATGCAAATTCGAAAATATTTTGTAGTAGTGGTTATAGAGCATCCAGTGCATCCAGTGGATCTAATGGACCCCAGGCTAACTTTGCGGCTACATGATATTCCCTTTTGTTTTTCATTATCTGCCTTATCATGAGTTTCGCATGAAAAAAATATAATTTTGGAATTTAAACCTCAGACGGCAGCTTTATCGGTA